GGACGACGACATTCCATGGACTGGTCTTAGAAGAAGCCAGCTCGGAGCTTTGGGTGAGTAAATCTTTGGGGTTTTTTTTTTTAACCTAGATACAAACGAGCACTTAACCCTTGTGCAAGGGTTAATAAAAATTAATTGGAATTCTTTTTTAAAGTAGAATTAAATTCTACGCCCGCTGCCCAGGGTTTTCACCATAATATGTACAATACATTTGCACATAATGGCAGCCTTACCTGCCCAAAGCGCCCCCCTCTAGTTCTGGAATGACTGCAATGCCCCTCGTTACCTTGTTGCTAACATCTTCCCCTGGTGTCTTTGGCTATCTTGACTGGGATGACGTAACTCCCACACATGGGGTATATATATTTCAGCACGTGCCAGGATCATACACCAAAGTGGGCATGCACAGCTCAGTGTACATTTAGCGAAAAAAACATTTGCTAGCAAGCTGGTGAGATTTTTTTTTTTTCCTGCAGAAAAGACATTCAGAGGGGAATTTGCCAACACTGGAGCAGTTGTGCATGGCAACCAATCTGTTTCATTGTCAAAGCTTAACTGAACAAACTGAAGACAAACGCTGAATGGTTGCCATGGGCAACTGCTCTAGATTCTGTCTGCTCCAGTCTTAGTAAATCCCCCCCAATTAGTGTCTTCTGCAATAAAATGCCAGCAATATTTTGTAAACAGGAGTTTCGCTCCAAATATAAGAGGAAAACAGAAATCACAGTTTTTTGTTTAAACAAAAATCATAATAATAAATAATAATAATGTGCTTCCTACAAGATAGTTGGAAAGCAGAGTCCATGACAAGGCATGAAAAGCTCCAAAGTACATGAACTCCTCGTGGAGTCTACAGCCTTTTCAGTGTGGCCATGACTCTGAAAACTTCCAGCCTGGCACATCCTGCACGGAGCGAGCTCACTAATGAGGAAAGTCAGCTTGTAGACAGTGCGAAGAAAAGGGGTGCTTTGTACTCAGCCCGGGACGTCATAGCCTGGCCTGCTGCACAGCAAGGTGAGCGGGATTACACTCTCCTCTAATATAGCTGTGCTTAGGGCAATGCATGGAGGAGTTGCTCCTTTGCTGAAGGGTAAGGCGTGAAACAGTCGCCGGCGTGCTAATGGGTAAGTCGTGAAACAGTCGCCGGCGTGCTAATGGGTAAGGAGTGAAACAGTCGCCGGCGTGCTAATGGGTAAGGCGTGAAACAGTCGCCGGCGTGCTAATGGGTAAGTCGTGAAACAGTCGCCGGCGTGCTAATGGGTAAGTCGTGAAACAGTCGCCGGCGTGCTAATGGGTAAGCCGTGAAACAGTCGCCGGCATGCTAATGCATGAAACAGTTGCTGGCATGCTATAGTGTAATGCATGAAACAGTTGCTGGTGTGCTAATGCATGGAAGAGTTGCTCGTGTGTTAAAATGCAATGCATGAAACAGTACCAACTGCAAGGCCTGTGTGACACACCAGTGAGCTTGACATGTCTGGCACTGCATGCCACTGTCATCACTTTGCTCTGTGCCCAGACAGCTCCAGGAGTACCCATTGAAGATCAGCATATCATGCAGTGACACTACATCTCATAAGGGACATGTGTGCCCTCCTGTGCCATGTAATAAGAGCAGGATGTGGCACTGGACACAGCTCAGCAGTCATCCTGTATCAGTCAGCAGGCTTGGGGGGTGG